CCCCCTCCCAAGGGGCGCCCTAGGCGGCTGCCTAGTCCGCCTTACAGGTAGCGCCGGCCCTGCTCACGCTGATGGGCCCCGTAACTTTAGGGGCCTGGTCAACGCTGTGGCCGTGGTATAGCGCAACCGGGCCCCTTTAAAAGAATGCAGCTGCAGCGCAAGTGCTGCTTGGAGGAAGTGGTCACTTCCTCCCAGCTCACTCTGCGCGGGAGGAGCGCACGCACGGCAATGAAAAGGGAGAGCCAGCCAACTCCCAGTCCCATCAGCCCCAGCCACCCTCCTGCAAAGACAAGGTAAGAGACAGGAGGGTGGCTGGAAAATGAGCTGTGTGTGTGTGTGTATGGGAATGTATGTCTGCATGTATGCAGGGCCGTCTTTAGCGCGGGGCAAACGGGGCAGCTACCCCGGGCCCAGTTGCTCCTGGGGGGCCCCAGAGCAGCTGCCCCGTGGGCCCCGTGATTTCAGCAGCCCCCATGTACCCAGCGGCCGACGGTGCAGCCGCACCGGCCCGCCAACTAAGGAGGCCCCCGGGTGGCCCATGCACTAAGGGCCACCCTGTGGGCATGTGGCAGAAAGGGCCCGGTCGGGCGCTGTGACGCTTAAACAGCTCGACCGGGCCCCTTCCTGTACCGGCTGGGAGGAAGTGAGTACCGCGTGTCACTTCCTCCCACCGGAGATAGCCACGCGGGAGGAGGAAGGCAGGGAGGAGGGGAGTTCCAGAGAAGAACTCCCATCTGCCTCTGCCTGCCACTGGACCCCAGGGAAACCACCCTCCATAAAAAGGTAAGAACCTGGAGGGTGGCTAAATGTGTGTCTGTATGTGTGTGTGTTAGTATGTCTGTGTGTGTTAGTATGTCTGTGTTTGTGTGTTAGTATGTCTGTGTTTGTGTGTTAGTTTGTCTGTGTGTGTGTGTTTGTTAGTATGTCTGTGTGTGTGTGTGTGTGTTAGTATGTCTGTGTGTGTGTTAGTATGCGTGTGTGTGTTAGTATGCCTGTGTGTGTTAGTATGCGTGTGTGTGTTAGTATGCCTGTTTGTGTTAGTATGCCTGTGTGTGTGTGTTAGTATGTCTGTGTGTGTGTGTGTTTTAGTATGTGTGTGTGTGTTAGTGTGTTAGTATGTGTTTGTGTGTTAGTATGTGTGTGTGTTAGTATGTCTGTGTCAGTATGTTTGTTTGTGTATGTATGTCAGTATGTCTGTGTGTGTCTATGACACACATACTGACATACACACACAGACACACTGACATACACACACACAGACATACACACATACTCACACACAGACATACACACATACTGACATACACACACACAGACATACACACACAAACATACTGACATACACACACAGACACACTAACACACACAGACATACTAACACACACAGACATACTGACATACACACAGACATACTGACATACACACACAGACATACTAACACACCACACAGACATACTAACACACACAGACATACTGACATACACACACAGACATACTGGCATACACACACAGACATACTGACATACACACACACACAGACATACTAACACACCACACAGACATACTAACACACACAGACGTACTGTGTGTATGTCTGTGTGTTTGTATGTCAGTATGTCTGTGTGTGTATGTCAGTATGTCTCACTGTGTTCCAGTGTGTATGTGTGTATGTCAGTATGTCTGTGTATGTCAATACGCCTGTCAGTGTATGTGTCTGTGTGTGTCTGTGTCAATATATCTGTCAGTGTATGTGTCTGTGAGTATGTATGTGTCTGCGTGAGTATCAGTATGTCTGAATGTGTGTCAATGTTTGCCAGTATATATTTTTGTGTCAGTGTATGTGTGTGTCAGTATGTATCTGCGAATGTTTTAATGTGTCTGTGTGTGTCTCAGTATGTCTGTCAGTGTGATTGCGGGTTGGGCGGAATGGGGAGGGAGGGTGCAGTGACCTGGCCCAGGGGGCCCAAGAAAAGGCTTTGCCCGGGGTCCTATTCATATTATAGACTGCCCTGCATGTATGTCTGTATGTATGTCTATGTCTGTGTGTATGTATGGATGTCTGTATGTCTGTATGCATGTCATTATGTGTGTATGAATGTCAGTGTCTGTATGAATGTATATCTGTATGTATGTCTGTATGCATGTCTGTATGCATATCTGTTTGCATGTCATTATGTGTGTATAAATGTCAGTATATGTATGTCTGCATGTCATTATGAATGTGTGTATGTCTGTCTGTATGAATGTATGTATGCCAGTATGAATGTCTGTCTGTATGTCATTATGAATGTGTCTGTATGTCCTTATGCATGTGTGTCTGTATGCAGGGGCGTTTTAGCCGCGAGGCAAACAAGGCATTTGCCTTGGGCGGCATTTTTCAGGGGGCGGCAAAAAAAGCCGCCCCCCAAATACCCAAGGCAAATGTCTTGTTTGCCTCGCGGCTAAAAGACATGCTGGGGCGCTGGGCGGCATTGGCGGGCGGGCGGGCAGCTGGCGAGGGAGCTCTTCCTGTGAGCTGTCCGCTCAGCTCCCTCGAGCGCCGCCCGCAGAGTGAGGCTGGGAGCCGGAAGATGACGTCATATTCCGGCTCCCATCCTCACTCTGCGGCGCGCGAGGGAGCTGAGCAGACAGCTCACAGGAAGAGCTCCCTCGCCAGCTGCCCGCCCAGCAGCCACTGGACCACCAGGGAGATAGAGAACCCCTTCCCTCCCCAGCACTCCCAAAGGTAAGGAGGCTGGGGGGGGGGTTAAAAAGTACATGTGTTAATGTGAGTGTGTGTGTGTCTGTTAGTGAGTGTGAGTGTGTCTATTAGTGACTGTGTGTGTGTCTGTTAGTGTGTATGTGTCTGTTAGTGAGTGTGAGTGTCTGTTAGTGTGTGTGTGTCTGTTAGTGTGTGTGTGTGTGTCTTAGTGTGGGTGTCTGTTAGTGTGTGTGTGTGTTAGAGTGTGTGTCTGTTAGGGAGTGTGAGTGTGTGTGTGTGTCTGTTAGTGAGTGTGTGTCTGTTAGTGAGTGTGTGTCTGTTAGTGTGTGTGTGTGTGTCTGTGAGTGTGTCTGCTAGTGAGTGTATGTGTTTGACTGTGTGTGTCAGTGAGTTTGTGTTTCTGTTAGCTAGTGTACGCGTATCTGTCAGTGAGTGTGTGTGTATTTAGGGCGGGGAAGGATGGGTGGGGTCGCGCACGCGGGGAGAAGGGATGGGTGGGGGTCGCGCTGGGAAGGATGGTGGGGTCAGCAGACGGGGGGTTGGGGGGCGTCTGAGTTTTGTCCTGCCTAGGGCAGCACAAAACCAGGATACACCACTGTCTGTATGTATGTTAGTATGTGTCTGTCACTATGTATGCCTGTGTGTCTGTATATGTGTGTATATCTCAGTATGTGTGTGTCAGTATTTATGCCTATATGCGTATCAGTATGTGTGTCTGTTAGTATGTATCAGTGTGTATGTGTGTGTATCTGTGCATAGGTGCATAAGTGTGCACCCTAAAGCACAAACACACGCCACATGTATGTGTGTGTATATATGTAGGTATATATATATATATATACACACATACATACACTGCTGTGTGTGTGTGCTGCATGAGGGTGGTTTGAGGGTGTTGTGTGTCTAAGGGTGCTGTGTGTGAGGGTGCTGTTAGTGTGATGTGTGTGTGAGGGTGCTGTTTGTGTGCTGTGTGTGAGGGTGTTTGTGTGTGTGTGTGTTTGTTAGGGTCCTGTTAGTGTGCTGTGTGTGTGAGGGTGCTGTGTGTGTGTTTGTGAGGGTGCTGTTTCTGTGCTGTCTGTGAGAGGGTGCTGTGTGAGAGGGTGTTGTATGTGTGAAGGTGCTGTATGTGTGTGCTGTATGTGTGCTGTCTGTGTGTGGTGTATGTGTGTGAGGGTGCTGTGTGTGTGTGGGGGGGTGCTGTATGTGTGTGTGTGCTGTGCATGTGTGGGTGCTGTATGTGTGTCCTGTGTGTGGGTGCTGTATGTGTGTGCTGTATGTGTGAAGGTGCTGTATGTGTGGGGGGGTGCTGTGTGTGTGTGTGTGCTGTATGTGTGAAGGTGCTGTGTGTGTGTGTGCTGTATGTGTGTGTATGCTGTATGTGTGTGTGTGCTGTATGTGTGTGGGTGTGTCCATGACCAGTGACGGCTGCCGGGAATTACTCTTTCTATGGAGGATCCCGCAAGAGTAAGGAAAGTAAATCTCACCTTTACCTGCCCACCCGGCCACTGGACCCTCAGTGTCGTTGTCACTGTCGATGGTCTTTGCGAATTCGACACAGTGCTGCTTTAAATGTGACCATCAGTAGATAAAACTCATGATTCAACTATAGTTTCCATTAACTCATGTGAGTGCCAATAGAATGAGCAATGCATTACTTCTGCTCTTATTTATGTGTCTTGAACATAGCAGTTAATATATGTTCTCTGATAAGATAAGATGATGCCATTATGCTTTATTCATGGACATTGTTTTAAGTCACAGAGATATCCAGCTGTAATGGACTTGCAAAGACTGCTGAATCTCAGCCAGTAGATCAGGACCCATCATTAATGGTAATAGGTGGTTAGACAAGCTGAAGGATAGTGAATAAAATTCATTATACAGTTTGCAGTAAAACCCACAAAGGGAATAGCAGCAGATAAATAATGCGAGCATAAAACACAAACGCTGCACATTATATTCTAATACGTTTATATTTTTAACCTTGCACATACTGATAAATAGAAACAGACAAAAAGGGGTTATAGAGGGACAGACATCTATTATATATGCTCAGAAGGGGGAATGTCAAACCACAAAAATCTATTTTTCATATCTGGAAATGAATGTTTATACATTGCACATAAAGAAAAGATTATATCTTGTTCTAGGCTGTGATAGCTGATCTTGGCACCACAGATGTTTGTAAATTACACTTCCCTCGATGTTCATGCAGTCTAAATACTAAATGATGGTGTAACGGAACTCCCCATACTCCGACCGAGTACCTTCCGTAGATGGACGCTTCCTAGCCTGCGCCGAGGACCACAAGCACCGCACTAGAAGACTCCACAACCGCCGTAGCTTAGCTGGCGTCTCGCCATCTTCTGTCCACCCTGGATCAGCTTCTGTCCTCCAGGACCGTGTGGGGAAGACCTCTTCTCCAGGAGAGCGTATCAGGAACAAGCTCTTAAAAGAGCTAAGTGCAGAGCATAGCAATCCCCAGTGTGAGTATAGCTGTCCCCTCCAATCACGAGACAAGACTACGTATTGAGGGTCAAGAAGAACTGACTCCAATGAGCATTTATTCCTGCTTATATACAACTTTCCCAGCAAGGTTACCACCCATGTGAACCTTGTGGGGCACTGGAACTGTAAATTTAACAACCAATAAAATAAAGGGACATGGATAAGCACACCCACTTTTTACAATGAGAATCCTCCCCTCTGCTTGGGAGATAATTGAGTTAATTACTGTATCAACTCAATTATCTCCAAGCTAAAAAACATACTTTTATGCCATTTTTGTAACTTTGTGAGTTTACATGCAATATCAATAAAACTTATGTTTTTTATAACCAGCATAATTTGGGGGCAAACATATCCAAAATTCACTTGAATCTGTTAAGTGGTTCAGGAGATAGGTGGAAGTCATATTTTGACCGAGGAAGGACAAAGCAGCTAGTTCCAACTGATTTGGCAGTGTCCCTGGGGACAACGCCCTGCTGGAGAACAATGGGACAAAACGAGGGAGGGGAAGAGGCACATTTTCTCATGGAATTAAAGGTGTATAAACAGTGTGTTCCAATCCAATGTGCCCAAATAATGTTTATAAAGGGCAAACTTTCCCAGGGGTCATAGTCGCAGGGCAGGAGGCTGGCAAGCAGGCCTCTCCAGGACAAAGTGGCAAAAGGCACTTCGTCACAGATGGCTGTGCATGATAGGAGTTGTATTGATTTGCACCAGTTACACATCACTTGCTAGTAATTGCATTTTCATAACGGTCACTTTTTTTAAACCTTACAAGGAAGACAGGGTGTATGGATAAAGCGTAAATAGTGCTATGGTATACAATATGTGCTTAACAAAGTATAGAACAAAATGAAAGTGAAATTGTAGCACTGGTATTGCATTATGCCTACATTACATGTTTTGCGGGAATTCTCACCTTCCATTTAAAGCGGTACTACCCTCTGCCCTTAAAACCTAAACAGATGAAGAGATAGGAATGACAGTTCCATGTTCTACAACAGAGGACATTTCTTGCTTCTTAAGTCCAGGCACAATATTTACTGGTTTGAGCTGCGTC